AAAATAAGAAGAATTAAAATATGTTGCTTCTTTTTTTAAATCTAAATTTCCATCCATCAACCTTATCAAGTTTTACATGTGGACGAAACTTGTGGAACACAACATTTCATCATTGTGCAAACTTAATTCGTTCTTTTTCAATTATTTGCTCAATCTTTTCTTTTTGGTTTAAATCTATGACAATCAAAGATTCAAGACATTTTTTTTATAAATACATGGGTAAACTCGATCCTTTCACTCGATTGTTTAAAGTATTTATAATATAAATGGATGGCCAACTTATCGAAAATTCTATGCATGGTTAGTATTAGTAAATAATCTTAATTAGCGAATAAAGAAATTCATGGTCAAATTTTTTGCATAGGAATACAATCCATAATACTTACACATACAACAAGTACTGCACCTCAACTTGGGCTCCCTAATGAAAAACATTGTCCATAAAAATCGGCATAGTATGGTGCGGGTCACTTCAACATACCAAATAATTTTAAAGCTAAATTGGGAAATATTGAATGCTTGTTTGAAAAAAAAAAGAGACGACATTTGAGATAATTTGCTTTTAAAAATTTCAGATAAACTTAAAATATTTCAAATTTGGAAACTTTTATATGTAACATATAAAACACACGATTTTTAAAAGCATATAACCTTGAAACCAGTAATTTATCTCGATGATGGATTGTAGAACTATTCAATATTGTCTCTATTTTTTTCAGATAAGATTTAAAGTTGATCAATTTTTTTTATTTGATTTGTTGCACTAAGCTGAAAAAGAACATAGCACATTGTAAATCATTGATTTTCTTCTCGTTCCAAGATAACACAACTCAATTGGTGCTAGAGAGGCAAACGCAATCAATTGGAAATGTTCTTTTGTCCGATGAAACTGGGTTTGCAGTTTTTAACAGTGATGGTCCAAATCGTGTTTGGTGGATTTCTGCCTTCACAGTTACCTGACCTGAGCCCAATAAAATATTATGAAAAACAAAGAAACCAAAAAGTAACAAAGCTTGATATTAACCTTTTTGTGCATAATTGTATGAAATTTTTGGGGTGGTCCGTGACTTTTTGGAAGGAGTGCATAATAATAACATGTGAACTTTTTATTAGTTGTTATTATTGTATTACTTTATTATTATTATTATTATTATTATTATTATTATTATTATTATTATTATACTCATTGAACCGTTTTTTCTTGTCAAGTTTTCAATGTAATACATTTCTCTTTTTGTCTAGTAATTAAAAATTAGGATCGGGTCAGCAATTTTGGTCTGGTCAATGTTACATTAATAGATCCAATGAAATTGAGAGGAAACGGCATTATGGTTGATTACAAGCATTTAAATATTAGAATTTGTGAAAAAATTTTTTTTTTTACTAATTGTTTAAATATATTAAGTAATGAGCAGCGTTAAGCACGCACGCTATGCTGATTTTTTAAAAAAATTTATCTAACATTGAATCAATCAATTATCAAATCAATCAAATCAATCAATTAATCAAATTAAATATTTTTTTTTATGACCAAATACGAAAGATTAAACATATATGGTTAAGCCCTTTCATTAAATTAAATAATACACACAATATGTTGGAAGCTTTTGCCACGTGATCTGTCATACAACTTTCCTATATAATGAAGTAAAACAGAAAAAAAAAAGTTAACAAAAAACGAATAAAAATGACAACATCCCAACCAACAGAATCCAATTTTCAAATTATCGATATTCGTGAATATACATTTAGTAAAGAATCACTAATTGAAGCAATCATTAATGGTTTAAATAAACCTGAAAATGTCATAAAAACCATTCCTACCTTTTTGTTATACGATGATAGAGGATTACAATTATTTGATGAAATTACTCACCTCAAAGAATATTACCTAACTAATGCAGAAATCGAAATTTTGAAAAATGAGGCGGATCGTATTGTTGATCACATCAAAGATAATAGTGTGGTCATTGAACTTGGTTCAGGGTAATTTTTGTTTCATTATTATCCAAAAATTATTAAATTCATGTGATCGAAGGAAGATGTTAATCAAAGAATATTCTCGTTTATAACCATAATTGTTTAGATCGCTACGTAAGACCAAACTAATTCTTGATTCATTGGAAAAAAAGAAAAAAAATATAACCTACTATGCTCTTGATCTTATGGAATACGAACTTAAAAAATCTTTAAGTTCACTTGGAAATTACGAAAACATTAAACTTATGGGTCTTTGGGGAACTTATGAAGATGGGATCAAATTTATTGGTTCTTTAAGTGATAACAATAACTGTGCTAATGGTTATTCTAATGGCGATTCTAATGGTAGTTCTAATGGCAATAGTGGTGATAAATTGTCTAAAACAATTTTATGGTTAGGTTCATCATTAGGAAATTCTACTAGAGAAGATGGAGCGGATTTTATCATAAGGCTTCAAAATCAATCTATGGATCCTGGTGATTTATTTTTGGTTGGTATTGACAGAAAAAATGATCCTGATAAAATCAGAATTGCATATGATGACCCTAAAGGTGTTACAAGAGACTTCATTATCAATGGGTTAAATCATGTTAATACTATTCTTGGTCAAAAAAATTTCATTGATCCTAATGATTTTGAGTATGATTCATTCTATAACGAGATCGAAGGTAGACATGAATCTCATTATAAATCTAAGAAAGATATGACGTTGAAATATAATCACCAACAAGGAGGAGAAGAGAAAGAAATTGTAATAAGTTTGAAAAAAGACGAATTGATTCATGTTGAATATTCATATAAATATGATGAAAAAGATCTGGATCAACTTTTTCATAAAGTAAGACTTTCTCATGTTGAAAGTTGGACAGATACACAATCTCAATATGACCTCCATCTGTTAAGTAAACCACCATTTTATTTTAGTCACGGTAGCGATGATGTTTCGTCGCGAGAATTTATACCAACATTAGAAGAATGGAAAGAATTATGGAAATCATGGGACACAATATTAATGAGTATGATCTCATCAAAAATGCTACTTGAAAAACCTACCGACCTTAGAAATCCACTTATATTTTATTTAGGACATGTTTCAGCATTTATGGATATCTATCTTTCCAAATATCACAATGAAAAAAATACTGAACCAAAAAATTTTATAGAAATTTTTAAAAGGGGTCTTTATTCCAATGCACATTCAGTAACACCAGTTGAATGGCCAGGAATTGATAAAGTTATAGATTTTCGTGATAAAGTTAGGAAAAGACTTGTTTCTGTATATGAACAAGTGCATGAAGGAAAAATAACCATGAAAAGAAGTTTAGGAAGAGTGTTATCAATGGTATTCGAACATGAAGCTATGCATCTTGAGACGGTTCTTTATATGTTGATACAATCATCGTCTACTTTACAGCCAAAAGGAGTTGTGATACCTAAATGGAAAGAAGCGAGCACTCCAGCACCAGAACCTAAATTGACAACAGTTCCAAGACAAACTATTACACTAGGTCATGATAACGATGAATATAAAGATGATGAGCAATATGATTTGTGTAAAGAATTTGGGTGGTATAATGAGTCACCTAGAAGAGAAGTTAGTATTGAATCTTTTAAAATCCATTCAAGGCCAGTGACTAATGGAGAATATCTTGAATTTATGAGGGCAACAGTTAACAAAGAATACCCAGCATCATGGGTTCCAATTGATCCATCACTATTCGATTATAAAGTTAGAACATTATTCGGACCAATTAAAATGAATGTTGCAATGAATTGGCCAGTTATGTTGAGTCAAGAACAAGCATGTAAATACGCAGCATGGAAAAAGATGAGATTGCCAACAGAAGAGGAATTAAGCGCATTCTATGCAATACATAAATCATCATCATCATCATCATCACCAATGGACTTAAAATCAAACGTAGGGTTTAAGAAATGGCATCCAGTTGATGTGCCAAACAATAGTGATAAAATTCAAACATTAGGATCTGGATGGGAATGGACATCAAGTGAATTTGTTAAACACTCGGGATTTAAACCTAGTAAACTTTGTCCTGGTTATTCGGCAAATTTCTTTGATGATAAACATGTAATTTTGGGTGGCTCATGGTAAGCAAAAATCTTATTTTTTTATGAATTATATTTAATTTTTTGCTAGTAGTATATGTATATTAATTATATTTTTTTTATTTTGAAAAAAAAAAAAAATAGGGCAACACACCCTAGACTAACAAGAAGCACATTTGGGAATTGGTATCAAGGAATTTATCCATATGGATTTTGTACAGTAAGGTTATGTCAAGTATAAATTTATTACTCCTAGAGCTCCGGGTGAGCCAGCCCGTCTTGGCTCGTGAGTCAAATAAGATGTGAAAATATTATTAAGGCCGCACACATATACAAAGAGCTTGGCTTGGTTCAGCTCGTGAGTTGACCCGTTAAGAGCGATATTTATTTCCTTTTTTCCAAATTAATTTTTTTATTCTTTACGTATATTTATTTAAAATTTTATTAAAAAAAGAAAAATTTTTTTTTGGTTCAATGGTTTATTTATTATATACAAAAGATTTTAAAAGGGCAGAGTGTAGTCATGTGATTTTATATATGATCGACGAGGATAAATAATTCCCGAGCCTCTTTTAAATCACTCGCTACACAGCATAGTGGACACTGTTGCAGATCAAATGTGACAAAAGTGACATTCAATATCTTATGCTAATTTCAATTGTTTTATAGAAAAAAGGAGTGTATGCGAAAAGAAAAACTGGATGGAAATAAATATTTGTTATTTTGTTTTGGAGTAAAGTCTACACATTTTTGAAATTTACCAATCTTTAATTAAATCATAAGCATTTTTAAAGTCTAAAGCAATTATATGTTCTTCAGTTATATCTTCCTCCACCTCTTCATCTCCAGTTACACATGATTATTTTACTTCATTCAATGAAATCAGTCAAATTTTCCTTTTTTTATAAAATTTAAAGCAATAGTACATTGATTTTTTTTCATTCCATAACAGGTATAATTGTAAATTTTGTTCCAGCAGGTGAAATAAAGCCACATTCATATTATGGGTCAAATGCAAGAGAATGGAGAGCATGACTAAATTGATTTACTACCTATTGAAGCCTTTGAAGCATTGTAATTTAGTAAATTATAATTTATTATCATCATAATTATCATATATTTGCTTGTGTTATTAACTCTATTATTATTATTATATCTGTAGTTTATTGACAACAGTTGATTTTGTAACAAGCAGATGTAGGTTTTTGGATAATACAGTGTGTGGCAAAAAACTTAACTTTACTAATTCGTCATAGGTTCATGAAAGTCACATCAAACCCAATGATAAATATACCATTTAAAAGCAAAAAAGCTACAGAATGAACTTTATTAGACTTAAAATTTGATTTTTTTGCAATTACTTTCAATAACCAACTCACAACAGCATTTCATTGAATTTAAAACAAATTTTTGAGTAGAATTCCATTCCTCTGTCAAAAACCTCTCCAAATCATCTGAATTCATTTTTAAACATTGTGTTTAACAATGGCCCATAAGTTTTCTATAGGGTTAAGTCAGGACTACAAGAAAGCCAATCCATAACCTTAGGCACATTATCAGCAAGAAATGTTTTAGCTACTTGACTTGTGTGCTTGGGATTGTTACCTTGCTGAAAGCATCACTTCTCTCCAAGATGATTTTTGAGTATTTTAACATAAAATTCACCATCCATTATCTGCAGGAAGCAAAATAAAGGCACCAAACCCTTTGCACAAAAACCTTCTCAAGCAAAAATTTTTTGACATACAATGAAGCTGGATGTTTATCTTTATATCAACATTCAATTTAATGCTCCAAACATACGTATCAATGAAATTCAAACTGATTTGAATCAAATTGAATCACCTAATTTTTAATTTGAATCAGTTCGAATCAAATTAAATCAAATTTGAATTGTATTCTGATTTGATTTGAATATTAAGTATATATAATTCGATTCGAACTGATTCAATTCAATTTGATTTGAACTGATTCAAATATATAATTTGATTCAAACTGATTCAACTCAACTTAATTCAAGCTAGTGATGGTGACTGAAACTATGCTTAGTGTGTCAAAATTGCCAAAATTAATTGGCCTAAACTTTGACGAAACTAATTTTAATGGCTGAAATTGTGAGATTTTAAAATAAAGTAGATTGATTTAGATACTTATTATATGTATTGGACAAAACTATCTTTTTTCAAAAACAATTTCAGCTTTATCAATTAAAAGATTTAAAATATACTGTGAGTGTGTGATCTAAGTTACTCACTTACCAGGTAATTCTTATGTTTGGCACACAGCTGGCCCCTGAATTACAGCCTATTGACCCTAAGCCCAAATGTCTGGTTTTCTTAGAACCTCTGATTTACAGTTGATTTCACTATCTTACAACCTTAGTCTAGATAGCCTACGAATGGCACATGTCTGGTTTTCCTAGAACCTTCAATTTAGAGCCAATAACTCTTTTACCTTACAACCTGAAGTTTGGATAATCGAAAGGGTTCCCAACTAATAATTAAAGGTTGGCCAGACCATTAATCATTAGAAGGCTGGGGGTTAATCACACTGGGTTTATTAGTTACTTATAGTCAAAGACTATTTTATGTAAGGGTTATATATTTATTAAGAGTTATTATTATGTTATTGTTATCAAGTTTGTTATCAAAATATTAACAATTATTCAATTATTCTTTCTAACTTGGTCTAAAGCCAAATGTATTTATACCTCTTGGGGCAGTACAAATAACATGATATGTGCTATTCTACTCTTCAATAATATGCTTATCAACTAATTACTAATTCTAAATAATTATTTACATCAGATGAGTAATACATGAAATACATAAGTAGAAATATGAATATAAAGATCTTCAGTATAACATTACACGATATGCGGCGCAACCGTTACAATGTTATATATGTAGGGATGTTAAATGGTTGAGTCGGTTCGGTTCGGTTTAAAAACCGTGTTAGACCGGTTTGAACCGCGGTTTGTCGATCATATACTAAGATCTGATTGGTCAATTTTAATAACCGTTGTTGATCACATACTTTAAATATGAGTGGTTAATTTTAACAACGATTTTTAATATAATATATACATGAAATACAATTTATATTTATTAATTTTAAAATGACAAAAACATTAATTATTCATTCCTAAAACAAAAAAAAAAAAAAAAAAATAAAATATAATATAATTAAAAATTAAAAACTAGATTGATTATAACATACTTGCTTCATAATCTATCCAACTTTTTAAGCATAAAGCAGCATGTGCTGTATTGGGATGAAGACAATTATGAATTTTTGTAATTGTGTGGGCTGCCATTTAGAAAGCTTGCTCACATGGAACACTTGTTCCTTGAATAGCAAGGTAATCTTGTGCTATTTTAGATAAAACTGGAAATTTATCTTCATATTGGCTCCACCAAAGTAATGAATCTGAAGATACTGATGGTAAAGCTAAATATCTTTCTAACTCATCTTCGATTGGTCAAGGTTGAGCTTGATTAACTTGATTATTTTGTTGTGTAATTAAATTTTCAAAAAATAATCTAGTACTAGAAGATTTTAAAATATTATTTTCAGAATTTGAGTTTTTAATTTTGATGTATAATTATTCATTTTAGAATGAAGCATATTAATAGCTTGATTTCTTTTTTCTTCTATTGAAAAAGTGAGTAATTTTGAACAAGGATCTAATAAAGTTGAAATAATAGTAGATTTATCTATAATTGTTATAATTGTCCAATAATCTTCTAGTTTTTTACGTATAGAATCTGCCATCATACATTTTTCAATTGAATGATTTTGATTTTCTATATATAACTCAATGTGTTGAAAAATTCCTATGAAAGTTAACCAAATATCACTAACAGTTGGGTATGATGAAGATGATAGCATTTTAGTTGCTTTATACATAGGATCTAATAAAATTATCATTGATTTGAACTTCTTCCCACTCATTATTATTAAGATAAATTGATTCTAAAATTTTATTATTATTATTAACTAAACAATTAAGTTCTTCGTGCATATGTTTAAATTTTTCCAACATTAAAAATGTGCTATTTCATCTGGTAGCAACATCAAGATCAGGCTTACAATAATTTTTTTTCATTTCTTTACAAATAATCCCATAGCTCATCACAAAATTTTGTTGAATTATGAATTTTATTTACAAACTTTCTTACTTTATCAATAATAGGAGCTCTTAGTACCATTCCATGATTTACTGCTAAATTTAAAATATGAACAGCACATCTATAGTGATGAAAATCACAATGTTCACAAGTTTCTTCTAATTTGTATAACATAAGATTACCACATCTAATCATTTTTGCATCATTATTTGTAGTAAGCACAAGGGCTTTATCATTAAGATTCATTTCATTAATTAATTGAAAAAGCTTTTCTTTAATTCTCATAACCATGGTTCAACCATGGTTCAACCACAGTTGAGTCAGCTGTTTAACATCCCTAACCTTCACTGATAGAAGACTTCATATTAGTTGATCTCGAAGAATCAGGTATTTGAAGTTTTGCTTCATTGTTAGCCTTATTTATAGTATCACTAGACTTGGGAGTATCAATTTTTTCTGTCTGATCCATATTTTTTCTACGTTTTAAAAACTTACTAAAATCTAACTTAGGTTTATTAGATGCAGGAGCATCACTTTGTAAGACATTTGATATATTTTTCTCATTGCCTCCACTAACTGCAGATGAATCAGAGATCCGAAGCTTTGCTTCTCCCGATGGTAACTCTATCTGATCAGATGAAAATCGAGGTATGGCTTCCAATTTCAATTGCTCCAGCTTGTTAACTTTTAAGGATAATTCAGCTAATTTAGATTTGAGGGACAAGACCTCGGATTCTTTCATGAACAAATCTTTTTATGCTAAATCTAATTTAGCTTCCAATGTCTTAATTTCAGATTGAAGCAATTCTAATGGGTCACAAGAAAAGGACAGGGTACAGGTAATTGTGGCTAATGCCTGTCCCCTGTCCTTTTCTTGTGACCCAATTTTTTTTTATACACTGATCTCGAATATTGTTTAAAATCAAACATTTACATTATCATTCATTATCTTCCAACTTTCTTTTTCTTTAACATCTTCATTTGTTAAATATGTGCGTATGTGTCACTTTATTCAATTATAAACTGCTTTACGTTTATAATATGGCGAACATAAATCGGAGCAAAAACGATCAAACAGGACATTTTGGTTGAATTAATGTTAAAATATATGGCAAGGCGAGGATTGCAAATTTTATATATAACTATGGTATAATTTAATGATATACTTTTGGTTTCTATCTTCCAAAAATGGACTACTTGTCATAAGAATCTCTAAACGACTTTGGTTGAGTGAAGTAAATGTACGACAAGATTGCACGTTTTATATATTATTTTTGCATTGTTGACATACTTTAGCTTTCTATCTTTATATCACTAAAAAATGATTGAAAATTTTATTTCTTTATATAATTCGTGTAAGAATTATAAAATGCTCAATTAAAAAATAAACAAACAAAATTTTTTTACAACAAACATCCATGATTTCAGAATAACTAGGCTTAAATTTTGGTCTGTTGCTCCGTATATATTATTTATTGAAATAAATAGTTTTTTTTTCAAATTTACAAATACAATTGTATTAATTATAAATATTATTCTAAATTTTCTTCTCTATTACCCAGTCTGCTTACTTTAACATAAGAATCGGTGCCAAAACCATCCATTGTAACCAATTCCAATCCGCCATCCCAATACTCTGCATAAACTTTACTCATCGGCAGTCCAATACCTAAATTTAATTTTGGCGGTATGATTAAACTTTCATATTCATCAACCTTCCCTGCCAATTTTGGAACTTTTTGAAAATTTGAAAATTTATTTGATTTGTCAACATCAGGAGCAGTGGTGGTGTTGTTGTTATTGTTGCGATCGTTAACTTCATCGCTGTCAACAGTACTGTTCATACTATCGTTACTACTGCTGCTACTTTTTTTGCGTGAGAATGACCAAATATTTAAATATAAATCATCTGATATCCCACCACCTTGATCTGATACGCGAAAATAAACATCCGTAGGATTAGAACATACTGTAACCTTTATTGGTGGATATGAAGTTAAAGATGATGATTTATCTGTTGCCGAAGAAGTGTTTTTATGACTCTCTATTACGCCTCTAATAGAATTCTTTAATAATTCATAAAGTATATACTCTATATGATCAGGTATATAAGTGAATGTTATGTCCTCACCATTATCATCAATCACAATGTCTGGCGGTTCCACACCATATGCCTTTCTGCATAAATTTCTAGTCATTTTAGCACATCTTTCCACAATATCTCTGGGGTTACATCTTGTTGAAACAATCCCAATGTTTCCATCGTAATTCTCTTGTCCATAACTATAATTTGGATCATGCCAATTTTCTGTCAAGGCAATTTGTTGTTCAGCTAAAACTCTTCTTGATATACGAGATCTTAACATCGTATTCATAAACTTGTCCAACTTATCAACTGGCAAGTGGTCCGAACACTCATTTATGCCCATTGCCAATTTCGGTATTACAACCAAATGTTCCTTCAACAATCCCTTGATCGTTTCACACCATTCAATATTATCATCCATTGTTCTAATGGTCGGTATCTTTCTCAATTTCTCAAACGCCGACCAATACAAATCATACACCTCTGCAATGTGTGGGTTGGTACCAACTATAAATGGTAGTCGTTGAAAATCTCTTATTCTGTAAGCCAATCTAACCGGTAATTCTGTACGTACATAATTGCCACTTTTTAACAATCTTTCTTCTGTTAAATTACGCCCAAAAACCACCAATTGTCGCATAGTGATAGTTTTTAAAGGCTGTGAAACATATTGATCTATTATACGATTATGATAAAAATGTTGCGGTGAATATTTTCTTGTTTGTGGTCTTAATGATAGTGTTTGTCTTGATGATGGTGAACTGATAAAATTATTATCACTATTATTATTATTAAAACAGTAATTGAATGATTGGAGAGCTTTTTTTGCCCTTGATGATATAGTTTGTGACGTTGAAGTTGACGATAGAGGTGATAAAGATGACTGTGGTATTAGTTTGTTGTTTTTATCGGGTGAAATTGGTAGGATTGTTCTAATATTAGAATGTAGAGAAATAAATTCTATCGAACCATATTTTTTTTTATTTATTGATGCTGATGATGATATTTTACGATAAGTATTGTTTATTATGACTTTATTTGATGTTATTGTTGATAAAGTTTTCATACTTTGAATAAGTGAATAATAAGAATGTTGTGTGTTAGTAAATTGAAAAAAAAAATAAATTTTCTGAATTGCAGATCAGATTCAAGATTTTTTGAAATTGAACTTTAATTTATGTATCACGAACGGTGTGTAATTTCGTCGGGTAACTAGTACAAATTTAGAAACTATCTCCAGAAATTGATGGCAATGTTATTTCTTTTAATTTACGTACGAACCAAGTAGCAAGATGGAACTTTTTCATTTTAACATACAGATATTCTTTAACTCTTTCAAATATATCTGCTACTTTTTAGAAAGTATATATACAGTCCCTTGAAAAAAGTATCGCTTCACCTGATGATCGACGAAAATAATTGGATAACTTCTGTGATATAAAAAG